GAAAACCTTAGTAGAGTTTTTGTCAGTGGCGGCCCCTAAGGGAGATACAGCCCCTTGAAGGGGCTCAGGACACAGTTTTTATTTCATAACATCAAAACGGTTTAATATTAAATCACGAAATTTTGGGGTTGTATTACTATTTATATGCTTAATAATCGGTATAATACACAAAACAAAATTTGCTACAGGGGCCTAAGAAAATGCGAGATCATGGGGCTGTATCTCCCTTAGGGGCCGCCACTGACAAAAACTCTACTAAGGTTTTCAACATCTTTCGACATGTTTTACATACTCTCCAATTTTGAATACTTTTTCCGTTAACACCTTGTATAACAACATTATAACTATAAAATTAAGATATTAATAATAAAATACTAACATTTCTAAAATTGACAGAAAATTGGTCAGATATTCCTCAAATTGAATTTTGTTATCTCAGAATTAACTTCATCGATAAGAATTTAACTGAATTGTCAAAATTTCTTTTGTCAAATATAATAAATATTCGTTGTAAAAATTAATAATTTGGTATTCTCAAGGACACTTAACAAAAGAGAAAACAAACCATATTGATGCAAAATTCCAATCCGGCACCTATAAGAAGAAAAGTTGAACGACGTTTCTGCGTCCTTATCTCTTTCGATTAAAAAATTATTATTATCCAAAATATATCTAAAACAACCTACGCATATTTTCTAAGAATACACATTTAAAGTTATCGATGTACACCTGTTAATAATACTTGTTTTATTAATTCCTTATAGCTCAAGGGGTGACCCCAATGTAACAGGTAGCAATTTAAATATCAGTTAGGGGCTGATTGAATCTAATATAAGTTGGTACAACTCAATCGTACACCATTAACGATTGTTATAACTTGATTTTAGTTCAGATAATAGCATCTACAAAACTAAGGGTAGGACTGATGAAATTAATATCTATAATATAGAGTTGTAACAGCAGAAATGCCCAGGTCATATTTCATAAACAAATCCATCGCCAGAGTTAACCGCCATCATAGAAACTTTTATGAAAAACTAGTTTTTACATTGTAAATCCTGAATTGTGTGAATATTTATTTTAGATTTATTAATTCCCTGACTGATATTAAAAACTTTTGATTTACCTGATACGTCAGGGACCTATACGCCTTTATAAAGGATTAATAAATATTATTAATATATGTACGGGTACTCCTTTAATCGTTTTAAAATTAATACTAATTATACGAAAACAGCAGTCTAGATCTCAGCACACCCTGTCTAAATATGCATGTTGCTTACTTTAATAATATTGATAGGTACAAACATAAACATAAAGAAAATGTATTATACCTAATTAATCTACATTTCTGAATATGGAAAATGAAAGGTAAATATAAACATTATACTTAGTGTTCTTACAGGTAAATATCTTTTCAGGAAGGAAAAAATACGAACAAAACACTGAATAAGGGTTTAACCAATGATTGTATTTTAAGAATCAAACGTTGGAAGGAAACAAATAAATTCCAGTAAAGTGGAAAACAGATCACTTGATGTCACGTTTGCAGAATCTTTCCTGTTTTCGCCACTCTTTCTGATCCCTTAACCTCGACGGTAGCACGTTTTATTAAATTATTTGTCACTTTAATCTCCCTATTTGTATTCAGATTGGAACTAAGTTCCACAGTTCCACATCGTAATTGACATAAGTTGACATTTTCATCGCTGTTTGTTTAAAATACGTCGCGGCTTTGACATGACTGCGATTTTAATTAATCATTTTAAACTTTGAGATAAATTGAAATTAATTTGTTGTGTTATTGCCAAGATGTTTTAGAACCTTAAACTTACTGTATTCTCTAATAGTGGATAGTTCAAAGACAAGTTTTCTCAAAGAAGCATACGAATAAGTGAATTTTTGTTAAAGGGAGATATTTTCAATTTCTTAACAATCTTTTATCGGTAACATGAGTGGAATGACACTTTCAAGGTCGTCTAATTCTCTGTTCAAGAATGCGTAAGTTTATTTATTTGTTTATTTGTTTAATTGCGTTAATACAGGGTGTTAATGAACTTATTTAAAATATTTTTGCCACATGACCGTTATGTCGAAATGAGGTGGGTAAATACATGGATTTGTGTTGAAGGTATAATTTTAAAATCTGACTTAGCTCAACATTGCAAGGAGAACTGCTGATTTTCATAGATGTTCGATGTACCCACCATTTGCTTGCACACAAGCTTCAGCGCGACGTATCCAATTCGCTCGCACGCGTTGCAACATTGCAAGTCCTCTCGAATCGTATTACAAACTTCGGCAATACGATGTCGCAGTTGGTCGATGTCACGAACTTCCGTGGAATACACAACACTTTTCATATATCCCCACAAAAAGAAGTCTAAAGGGGTGAGGTCCGGGGACCGAGGAGGCTATCTAAGCTGTCGCGGCCTATCCACCGATCGTACACAGTATTGTGTGTACAAGTATTTGTGCTGTAAATTGAGGATTTCTTGCATGTTCCTGAAGCAACCATTCGCAAAAACCTCGACATAGTAAGCGCTTGAACACGTTGAATATGAAATGGGTACAACTGAGCTTCTCATAATGTCCGCCACACAACAAGATGCAAAATATTTACTTGCTGTGCGATATTTCTGGCGCTACGACGAGATCTAAAATCATCTCCTCAATTTTTAAATTTTTGACTTAAGTTCATTAACATCCTGCATAAAGAAGTATTTGCGCAAGTCAAAGAAAAAAAATGTACACTTTGTTAAAAGAAACTGACAGCGAAATATTTTCAAAAGTAAATATCTAATAAAATAGTTAATAATAGTAGTAAGTTTCATATCTAAAAACAAACATAATGTAAAATTACTAAATATCGTAAATTTGATAAATAATTAAAACCAATCTCAAAATATTGGTGTACCGCAAAAAAGGTAAATATCGATAAGTACAGAAAACAATTAATTGTCACATATAAAATTGGTTATGAACAAGGTGTTTTATTAATTAAAAATCTATCTATGTTGTAACATGCTTTAACTAACAGAAACTAACCTAACAGCTTTGTTCCTTGAATTAGTGCCTTACAAAATTTATCACCCCGACATCCAATACCATTCCTTGTTCTACTCAACCTGAGGTAGGTATTTTGAATTGAGAAATCTTTTCTACTTCTAGTAAAATGAAAATTAATCTTATTATGTGCTAAATGTAGTTTCATAATATGCGTTACATATAGCAAACATTAAGAATATATAAGTGTTAAACTTCTAAATTGAATACATTTTGCTCTATACTCATCTATGAATTTGAGACTACATGAAATTCATTTTTACGAATCACACAACAAAGAAACTGATTAATTTAATGAAAGATAAAGGAAAGAGAATGAGAAACCAACATAATTTAAAAAAATTATAATAATAAAAATTCGAAAGAGAAAAATCATAATAGAAAAACTGAGCAATTATACTAAAGAAAGAAATAATAAGATATATTTTTAATACTTAATTTGATTAAAGTTAAAATCATCTTACACTACTGAAGGCATAAAAATAAACATGTAACTTATAAATTTACGAAGACAGCAAATAGACTATTTACATTTCACATAAGTAGTAGTTCCAAGAGTGTAATTATTTAATATCATATTGATATAGTTAACAGTGCTCGAACTCTATATGTCACGTACGTAGTGTTATATGCTAATAATTAATGTACAATTTTTTCCGGTACAATTTATTTAGTTCTATTATTATTTATATCAAAGAATAACATATTAAGCGCTACCTATATCTCTATCTCTATATAAAAATAGAGGTATACAATTAATAAACCCCCTCATTTAGTGCTTTTAATATACTTAGCTTTGAAAACTGAATTGAAATGACAAAACATAACCTAAATCTTAATTTAGTAGTTTTCCTTTCTCCTTTTTTCCGTAGTATTTTTGCTACTGTTCAGTTTATTCATAAACTTGCTTCATAAACATGACATAGGTATAAGCCGCTTTCATTATCTGAAAAGAAAAACACACCACTGCACTACTTTAAATGTAAGAGGCAAAATGATATATGGACAATACAGAGTTCAACTTTAGTAAGATATAAACAGCTTCTAATTATATTTTTATCGTGTAATCTTGACACAAATACAGTGTAACAGTGAGTTCAGGACTGATGACATTTTTTCGTAAAATCGGTCAAAGATTGGAAGTGAAACACAGTTTTTGATCAATTGCTCAATAGCCTAACAATCCTAATTTCTAAAATCTATCCTTCAAATTTTACATGTAAGTTAAAACTGTTAAAAGAGTTATATTAAAATCTCTCACTGAGTAGACTATTTCCAATAAAAAAATTTCTTTAATTCTTTTCGCAAAATAGACGTTAACGAAGTTAAAAGTTCAAAACAACGTGACACTGTAAGGAGCATTATTAACAGCAAAGCGAAAGTGAAAATCTGAACAACTTAAAGTTTTACTCAAATTCGCGTATATTTGAACAAAAGATAACCAACTTTTCCATAATTACGTACCTTTAACAGTTAATAAATAAATTCGGGGAAAGTGTGGAACTTTATTTATTTATGGTCTGCTAACACTGTTATGTTTTTTGGACTTTTATTCACGAGTGATGTGTTTATAAAAATAAAAGATATTTGAAACGAAGTATCAAAATCTTGTGAAATCAAATTACTTTCCTAGCAGCTGAAACTTCTCAAATTTTTACAAATTACAACGCCTGCAAGTTTTGCTCAAATTTTATATGGAAGTATCTACTATAAGAAGATTGATCAAAATTATAATTTTCGTTCAATTTTTGAATCCCCGAAGTAATATTTTGGAGAAAGACGTTAGTTAGTTTACTTTTTTTTTCTTGAAAAGTCAAGTAGCCCTGAAAGGTTATCACAACCTTTTCGTTACACCTTCATGCCGTAATGTATTTTTTCTGTGATATATGAAAAACAGAATTAAAATTTTATTTCCGTTTCAGTTTATTTGTTTATCAAACTCTAACCTTGACAGCCATTTCCAAAGATATTTCTCCAAATGGTCCGACCGTAATTGATAGCGGCTTCTGGGAGCGAATCATCATAATGTGGATACTAGTATTTATACTTTTGTTATACTCATACCATTGCATTCCATAGAGCACATTAGATATGGCAACACTCTGAAATCAAACTGCAGTTAAAAATCGTTCTAAATGGGAGCTTAATACTGAAACAGATTGCACAGCGCTACAGATAAGAAATGTGTCAGTGCTTTGACCCTCTGAATCCGAATATAAAGTCACAGTTCCCAGATTGGTTCGTTTTTGACCCTAACTTCAAGAAACTTTTCTAAAAAGCGGTTTCCTGTATTTCTGTACAAGACATGAGCAGTCAGTGATAACCCTATAACCCCAAATCACTCACTACTCGAGTCAGTTTGAAATGTCAAAAATCGCTTTCTATATGAGTTTCTTGATGGTAGAGTCAAAAAATGTGTGTAGCAACCGTTTCATTTTATCAAAGTAATCTTATCTCATATAACTCAACTGTCATCCATTTCACCTGATCGGTAAATCTCGGATGCGCAGTGGCAATTTTACTTCCCGCTTTTTAGTTCATCTAACTTCTATAAGTGGCGCGCGCTCTCTCACGTTTGTGCTTCTCACCGGTGGTCAGATAAAATAAGTTGAACTCTACTTGTGTACTTTACCTGCTCTCTGATTTCATCACCATGCCAATACAAAATCAGTAGTTGAGTAAGCAATTGAAAGAGGTAAATAAGTGCGAAGAGCTGTTCGTTAGTTTCGTGTGTCTGAAAATAAATATTAAATTAAAAATTTAAACATTATGACGTTTGGAGTTATTTGAAAATGGCAAAACTAAAACAAATCGGAGTCCTCACCGAGCGGTTCAAGAATGAATGCAATAAAGTAAAAAACACATAATGTGGTGGTCTCTATGGTGGTCTCAATCCTAGTTAAATTTAAATCATATTAGAGAAAAAGGCAACTCTAAGTTGGTATTATATACTCAAAATAGAGTCAAAAGTCGCTCAATTGATAGTTGGCAGTAATTCGGATTTTAGTAAAACTCACTTATTTCTGATGCAATAGTTTCACTCACAATCAGTTGTATTCATACTAATAGGGTGAAAAATTCACTCAATCGGGTGTGAACAGAAATTGATACATTATTGAGTAAAATTCACTGAAATTTGAGTGAATTTTTTTTACAGTGTAAATGACTGATACTTTTGAATATATCTACAGTCGATAGGACCAGTCACACAGTTAATGGAAATGGGAACCCATCAAATTGTCTGAAAATGAAATATGTTCCTCTCGAAACAAAGAGAAAATTTTTGAAGAAATAAAAAAGGGGACGCAATGTTGAAAAACGGGCGTACAATAAGAAAAATGGACGTAATGTAAAAAATTTGTCAATAAGCAAACAATGAAAGAAAAGGCAAGCGTAAAGGAAACAAACGGACATAAAGAACTGCCAAGCAGATTGAAAATAAGAAAAGCGGACGGAAAGTAAATAAGCAGGCGTAAAGTAAAAACACTTGCTAATATAAACACGCAGGTGTCTAATAAAAGAAGCGGGACAAAAATGGCTTACGTAATGTTATGTTAAAAAATGCAGGCATAAAGAAAAAAGCGTAAAGAATAAACAAGCGAGCGGAAAGTAAAGAAGCGGGCGTAAAGAAAAAAAATGGCATATAGTAAAAGTAAGTAGGCGTAGTAAATCAAACAGACGGTTAGTAAGAAATGAAGGCGTAGAGAAAAATGCAGACTACAAAAAAAGTTGACGCAAATGCGGGTGTAAAGTAAAAAAAGCGAGCGTAATATACAAGCAGGTGTATAATTAAAAGAAACAGAACTAAAAATGATAGACTCAATGCAAAAATTAAGCGGGCAAAAAAACGTGAGTGAAAAGTAAAACAAATGGACTTAAACTAAAAGAGCCGGTGTAAACTAAAAAAAGTGGGTGCAAAGTAAAAAAGCGTAAAGAAAAAAGACAATGGAAGCATACAGATAAAGCGAGCATAAAATAAAAACAACACATAAAGTAAAAAATCATGCGCGTAATAAAAAATACAGGCATGCTTCAAAAACGAACTTATAGAAGTAAGAAATACAGACGAATTAAAAAATGATGGCGTAAAATAAAAAAGTAAGCAAAAAATGCAAACATAAAATGAAAGTTAAAAAGTTTATAGTCCAGTGTCTTAAATTATCTTTTATCTATGTTTGTGTCGACTATAATGGTGTTTTTGCAAACATTACTTGCAAAAATTAGAATTTCAATTAAAGTGGTCGATAGAAACATCAGTATTTAACCCATGGTTTCAATTTTAATAGTACGTCCATCTACTTTGCAATTAACACAACTTTTCAAACAAATTCTTGATGTATCAGACAATTTCTCAATATCTAGATATATATTTTATTATTTCCCTTACAATCTAGTTACTTACAGTAGTCAACAGGACCAGAGCTAGAGAAATCTGTGCTGAAGACATTAGGAATTCCAGTAACATTAAATATTTCACAGTATTGTTCAGAATGGAGCAGATCCTAAAAAAATAAAGAATGGCTTTAACAAATAATACAACTGTTTTATTTCTTCATACGTACTCTATAATATTCGTGTGTTCTTTAATGCAAAGTACGACCATGTCTTTTATACAATCCAAATCATCTGCTTCACTGGTCTGAAGACTGTTATTCCTGGAATATTTGATATTCTCCAAATGATTCCCTAGTACTTTCAGCCTTAAGGTAACACTAAGAGGCAAAATTACCAAAATGCACTGTACGAAGCAGTAATAGTTTATAGCTAACAAAGCACAGAGGGTTTGAATGCAGAGAGCTGCCAAGTAGTGCTCTTTTTCATCCAAAGGCAACCACATTGCATAAGGCAGGGATTCGTGCGCTTCTAACGTTGAATTGAATTTTATTTCATCCGATGACATGGCGTAATTAAGTGCTTTTTGAAAGAATGATATCCCAGTGAGATACGTGAGTATGATATAAAACACTTGTACTATCTTGGATCTTTTTACTGCTGATAAATATATATTAAAGATTTCTTCGCTTTTACTAGCTTTAATGTTTGATTCGTAATAGACCATATCAAGTAATAATTTACTCATATTTTTCGACATGCACACTAAGCCTTTTACGTACAGGATTGTGTAAGTGGACAGAATGCTTACGTTTTGGAACAGTTTTTCCATTGGTCCGTGGAAATTCGGGGTCTCCAAATAAAAGAAAATCAAAACTAGGAAGAAAGTACTTTGAAGTACGTATTTGTAGGATGTGTAGAATCGTTTGTTGATATCAACCAGCTGATAGGGTAGAGCTCCCAAAAATATCATTATGGGCTTCACGTAGCACAAAAGCGATATGTTTCCTGTCTGAAAAAAACTCAAACAATTAATTTTGAGAGTATAATTCTTAAATAAGCAAATAGTATTCTGTATTGATAAACAAGTTCTCTAGAAGCTGAAGTTAAAACAGCAACGCACTTAAAAATTCAGAAGAATAGAAAATAAAAGAGTTAGATATTTAAATATAATTCTAAATTCGAAACTATTAGACAATTTTCTAGTTTTATTGGAGACATAAAAGATGTTGACCATGTTGTAAATAATCAGAATTTTGATTTTAGTATTAAATACAATAAATTGAATTATTATAATATTTCTATACCCTTTTCTTCATTTTCGTTATGCTTTCTTATAATCTTCAACTAGACTGTATATTTTTAATCAACGACGTAGGTTATATATGAAAGGGGAATATAAATTTTAATGATATAAAAAATACTGAAACTTCTCACTATTACAACACACCTAAAGATATAATTTCATATTTCAATTATTAACAAAGATAGGAATAAAACTCAAAAACTTTTTCTCGACAGGTGTAGTGTACAATATACATAGTAACATACGTATTATGATATAAATATTAAGTGCCCTAAATTATTTATCTAAACTGAAACATTTTTCTAACAACTGACTACTTATTAAATATTAGACTCTGCCGAGTACATGTTTGAGACCTGTTACGTAAAAATAACTTGCTTGCGTTTTATCCATTAATTAATTTTAAATATGAAATATAAAATTTGCAATTATTTGATTCTAACTGTAAACCTTAGAAACATTAAATTCAATAAAATTAAGTTGTCTGTTATCTAATAGTTTTTTTTGTGAATAAAAATAAAAAAATTAATAGTTATTTATTATAGTTGACCATAAAATAATGTTTTATCGACGAACGAAATAATAAATAATTTTTTCATCGTGTATACTACCCATTGTTTCCGTCGCTCTACAGCCACAATACTGGCAAATTCTGGTACAGTCAAACATATAGGGCGATGGAGGTCGTCTTCAGTGGTCGAAGCTTATTTTGAAGACTCAGTAGCGAGAAAGGTTGAAATATCCAAGAAAATGCTCAGTGATGGAATAGTGTAATAGTGATGGAATTCTTGCAGTTTTACGTCTGTACGTTTGTTACATAAAAAAAGTTCTGCTCCAAGAATAGAAATTTTTGAAAATTGGACAAATAAAGTTCATTTTAATTCAGATAAAAATGAAGATTAAAAATAAGTTGCTGATGAATAAATAAAGTACATTATACACTGTTAAACTATTACTTTATCTACTCCTAGGGTAAAAGTTGTACAAAGCATTCTTTAGCATTTGCTATGCAAAAAAATCCATAGAGATGGTGTGTAGCTGCATCCTAACTTTTACACATTCATAGGCATTAGCTCACTAATGAATACAACTGAATAGTTTTAAGAATCAGGCATTTGATTATTGAATACAGAATTGAGTCACATTCTCGGCAGACTGGACTGTCTACAAGCTTTAGTTTATGTAGATTCTAAAGTGACAGTGTCCCGTTATGAATTCCGTCACCTTCCTGAGTCGAATTTTATTCAAGCTCGGCAATTCAATTGCCCTTTCCTTCACAGGATATTCCACGAGCTCCTTAGAATGGCTATGCCCTGGTCTTGAAGTCCAATATGTTCTGTCTCAGTTCATTTGCCCAGAGCCCGTCTAACCACACTGGGGGATGTACCGCAGAAGGGCTCCGGGACAATGAACTCTGTATCGAATCCCTTCTTAACAAGTTAATCTGCTTTCTCGTCCCCACAAATACTTTTGTGTCCAAGTTTTGAACTTGTCTTGTGTGTGTGTGTGTGTAAAGCTTTAATTGCAGCTTGACTATCAGAGAATATATACCTATATGAGTTTGCGTTTATAACCTCTACGTATATTCTTTGCCAGACATGCCATTATCGCGAAAATTTCTGCTTGGAATACAGTAACAGCTTGCACTCCATCTGGGTCTGAGTCCATATATTCCTGCACCCGTCCCTCTGGTCATTTTGGAGCCATCTGTAACCATACTAGGCTCCACCTTTCCAGGGTATTAAACCTTTCCTCCCATTTGCTTTGATCATCTATTCGAGTCTCAAAAGGCTTGTGGAAGTGAAACCTTGGAACCATCTTGTCAGGTACCATCCCAAGAGTTGGTTCCGACATACTATTAGTGCCTTGAAGAATGGTTCTTTGACCTTGTTTTAAGTATTTTACTTCTTGTTCAACCCTTTCTATTACAGTGTTTAATTCTTCCTCCATTGAAAGAAGATACGCAATAGCTATATTTAGCAGACAGACAGTATAAAGGTTTAAAAATGCACTCTTTTCATCTGATGTAAATATGAAATCTGTTGGAAGAACAAGATAAGTTACATGTTGCTTATCCCACACATGCACAACATATGTGTTTATTGAATTTGCCTTAGTTATATTTTGTATTTACTTATTTGTCTAAGTTATTAGCATGTACCAATCTAATAATTTTATATATGAAAAAACATTTTAAGTAATACTTATACACCTTTTTTCATCTGGTGTAAATTTAGAAATAAATAACAACGCTTGCACATTTTCAGTACTTGCATTATAAATGATTTTTTATATATTTATTTGCGAATACTTCAGTGCAAATTAGAAGCGACGCAAACTTCTTCCATGACAATTTTCGTTGGATGAGAACAGGACACCTTATACATAGGATAAAAGAATTATAGAGTTATAGTGTTAGTAAACTAATTCTCATCACTAACCAAATTTGATTCTTTTGTCTAGTGTATACAGGCTGTTTCTTAACTAGAAGTTAAAAATCCAGAGGCGTATTCTGTGGCCAAAAATAAGGGTTTTTTTGTTATATAAATGTGGGGTCTTAGGACAGCCATTGTCCAGCTACAGTGGCGGAAGTGTGGTCACCATCGATCATTATTTGCCAAAAAATATATATCACCCTGTATAACATTACAAATAAAATCAATTTTGTTGTTAATCGGTTTGGAACACAAAAAAGTGTAAAGAAACAAAGAGTTAAGATAATACAATGGCGCATATGATGACATATTTTATTTGTAATATTATACAGGATGATATATTTTGGCAAATAATGATCGATGATACCTACACCTCCGCCACTGGTAAGTTTCTAAAGCTGGTAATTTTTGGTTTCATACCTACTGCCATACTAAATATGCAGACCAAATTTGGTTAAATTATCTCGAGAGGTTTAGAAATTAAAAATAAAAAACTGATTTTTTTTAATCTTTGACACGCTGTAGATGGACAATGGCTGTCCTAATACCCCACATTTATATAACAGAAAACCATAATTTTTGGCCACAATTTGGCCCTGGATTTTTAATCTCTACTTAAGAAACACCCTGTATAAACACGATGCAAGATAAGTTGTACTTGCTGATGACTGATGATTTCATTTACATAAATCTTTTGCTATGAAACTCCTTCAGATAAAATTAACACTGGTCTAATTAAGCACCGACGGTTCTTTGACTAACTCGTGATAATGAATGGAAACCATTATTTACTGTAAAATTTCTTCACCTCGGGCTTCGTAATTTTCTGCGCGGAAAAAATCTTTTCTGGATAACTTTTCTATTATGTTCAGGATTTATACCGTAAACAGAATTTACCTTTACCATTATTATCTCGTAGACAACTTTTCAAAGGGTCTTTATAATAAATAGTTTTAAAGCATAAATAGTGCTGCGCTGCGATAAACAACTTTAGGCGATTTTAGCGAAACGGAGGTAACTTCCTTTTAAGTTAAAACAGATCCGAGGTATTAAAATTTCAAGCGAAGTAACCGTCACGAAAACGTTTGATGTGGAAGGTTGCCGGAGGGTGATTATCCGCGTTAATTTTAGAGTCAGATTAAATATTCTAGGACACTCGATTGTCTTTCCAATTATTTTGTGGTTCGACGTAAAGGATGAGAAAAGTGGGATTCCAAAATAACGTTCCGCATTAATAACTATAGCTAATCTAAATTAAAACTGATTTAGAATATTAATTCAAATTAATGATCCTCTGTAGAAATATTTTTTCTTGCACTTTGGAGGAGATCTGCAGAAATTAGAAGTAGAAGTCTAATAATGTCATAAATTGTTTGGAATATCAAAAGTAAAGTGGAGTTTTCCACTTAGTATACCATCTTCATACTGCCATAAGTCGAATTTTTTGTGAGTTTGGGTTAATAGTGTACTCATGCTACACTGATAGTAACACAGGTCAACATTTAGTTTGAAAAAAAAAAACACCGGACTCTGCCTAGGTAGCCAGGGTTATTTTCTCTCTGTCCATCTACCTGACATCGTGGCTTTCATCTGCCTTTCTGTCGGTAATTTTGTCTATCTTCCTGTCTGACTAAATGACTAAAGGTTTCTATCTGTCTGTTTTTCTGCCATCCTCTGTCTAAATGTCATATGAATCTAAAACTTCATTTTCTCCATTCTCATCTTGATTGGTCTCCAAAAAATTTGGGAGCTTTTAGTGAAGAACAAGGAGAAAGAATGCACCAGGAACTGAATGAGTTTGAACAAAGACATCATGGCATCTGGGGG